AAGGTGGCCCGACGTTACGGCGATTGGTTCCTGAGGCAGATCCACAAATTCGATGAACTCTATCGACTCATCTCTAATATCAATCTCTAAATTCCATGTCTTTTAGTGTATTTGTATTTTGAAATTAATTTGAATAAAGTATTTAAACCGAAATTCATTCATAAGTTTTTTTCTATTTTATTGAAATGTTTTGTTGTACTAAAGGTTTTAAAATTAATAGATTTGAAATGGATGTGAATGCGAGTGAAATTTGTCATTAAAGTACTGTGGCATCAGTTTATATAAATTATTATAGGATTTACTGATATTTTACAAATTGTTATATAATTTAAAGTTTAATTTGTCGTAATAGTTCATTTGATACAGTAAGCCATAAACCTATCACATGATTGACACGTATTTTTGTATAGTGTTTATGAATTGCTTCACGCATTGAGTGAACGTTTGTTTTGTTTGCAAAAAGTCGTCAATTTGTGTCACATTTTGCACATTTGGTTGTGTGAAGTGTTCATTGGATCCGATTGGACACCAATGAAGAGCTGATGACATAGCAGTCATGTCCAGACACTCGCCTAACAGTCATTCACAGAGATATCACTCATATGGTGATCGACACAACTCTTCGCACGAATCGCACCGCAGAAGACATTCTCCCGATTACCACAATTCAGACAATTATCGCACGAAATCGAGTCAAAGATTTGATGAAAATAGGGATGACTTTTGGACAGAAAGACGACTGAAGAGGGAAGAGATCGGAGAATCGGGTTATTTCAGTGTTTGGAGTCATTCACCACAAAGACATGAAGACTCTGATGACGATTCCGATGACAGCCAAACAAATGGCCGCCAAATGTCTGAATCGGATTCAGTTTCCAGTGATAATCTTCATGAGAAGAAAGTGAAGAAGAATAAGAAACACAAAAAGAGTGAAAAGAAATCCAAAAGACATAAAGACGTGAAGAAACACAAACACAGAGACAAGAAGTCGAAGGAGAAGAAGGAGAAGACGAGTAAAAGAGATAAATACAGAAGAGATCCGAAGGAAGAGAAGAATGAGTTCACGCGATATAACAACGAAGAAGAGGAACAGTTTGTGAGAGAATTGAATGAAAAGAAACGAAAACTAATGGAAGACAACGAATCGGAAGAAGAAGAAATGGTTGGACCGCAGCCTAAGTCTGCCGTTCAGTTGAATAGCAAAGACTTCGGGAGAGCTCTTCTGCCGGGAGAGGGGGCAGCGATGGCTGCGTTCATAGCTGAGGGCAAACGGATCCCCAGGAGAGGAGAGATCGGTCTGACTCCTGATGAGATCGATTCCTTTGAGAACGTGGGATATGTGATGAGTGGTAGCCGTCATCGGCGTATGGAAGCGGTCCGACTCCGCAAAGAGAATCAGATCTATAGCGCGGACGAGAAGAGGGCTTTGGCTCTGTTTAACAAAGAGGAGCGAACCAAACGTGAGACCAAAATATTGTCTCAATTCAAAGACATGGTTAGAGCCAAACAAGAAGAACACGAATCGAAACATTGATTCCACACATAAGACATGTTTACACCTTATCATCAATAATATGTTAATTAGATTTTATACATAATTATACTTTTTATTCAAATATGTATTACTTATTACTTATTGAACATAAAATAATTAAATAAACAGATCATCAGATAATTTGATTCATTAATGATTGCAAATAATGACAATTGAAAAGCGTTTTTATAATAAAACATAAAAATGAAAACTCGTCCGAAGAATAAGACGACCAAAAAGTAAGTAAAGAGCAAAACGTGGAAAGCATTTAAAGCAATGACTTTTCCACTAAAATGCGGTCAAAACCGAATGGAGGGTCGAATTGAAATGACGTGAAACTGGCGTCCAGTATAGCGCCGTCGTCCACATACAGCACCGGATATATCTCTTGGCCTTTAATACCGGTGACCGCGAAGTCGATGGCTTTGTTGTTGATGTAGAACTTGAGTTCGATGTGATCGTAGGTAATGCCAATCACATCACTCTCTTGGATCTCTTCAGTTAATGAATGAATGATTTGATTTTCGTTAACTATATTCCCGTCTTGTCTTAAGACCCAACTCTGGCTATCGATTCCGAGCGGAACGG